GAGTGTTTTTCTGCATGTGGGCCCGCCAGTTAAAACCCGACATGACACTGTTAGCTACAGTGCTGCTAACAGTCCTCACGTTGTAGCTGCTGCAAACTATGAACTGGATTTCCTGAATGTGAGGCGGGTCTTATTACTCTGGGCTCATGAGACACGTTCAGGAAATCCATTCCATAGTTTGAAGCCAACGTGCATCATGGATTGGAAAAATCCAATACGTAAATTATGCTGGTATCGGAGGCCGATACCAATACTGGATCAAATCGGCTCCAGATCCCTAATAAATATATAAAGTTCACGAGAAGATGTAAAAAAAAAAAAAAAAAGTCAGGTTGGCTTTTTTGGACTGTGAGGTCTCAGTTTCTGATAGAGGACATTTGCAAAATGAGGTGTACCGCAAACCCACCCACACAGACCAGTATTTCCCATCACCCTCTGGAGCACAAGTTAGGAGTCATCAGGACTCTGTACCACGGAGCAGACAGTGTCCCCACTAAGTCAGGAGCCAGGCAGAAGAAGAAATCCCACACAAGACAGGCTCTAGAGCAATGTGGATATCCTAACTGGGCCTTCCTGAAAGCAGAGAAGAAACCCAAACAGGACTCCAGTCAGCCATCAGGTGAAAAGGAGGAACCCAGACCCAGACCAGTGGTCATTCCATATGTTGAGGGAGTATCAGAGAAACTGAGACGTTTATTTTCTAAACATAACGTCCCAGTGGCTGTTAAACCCCAAAATACATTAAAGACTGGTTCATCCCAAAGATCCAGTCCCCCGGCACAAACAGAGTAATATTGTGTATGCTGTTCAGTGTCAGGAGGGTGATCAGTCTTACATTGGGGAAACTAAACAGCCACTGGTCAAAAGGATGGACCAGTACAGAAGATCAACATCATCAGGCCAGGACTCTGCGGTCTACACTCATCTCCAGGTCAGAGGTCACTCTTTCAGGGATGAAGATGTTCACATCCTGGTCAGAGAGGAACGATGGTTTGAGAGAGGAGTAAAGGAGGCCATCTTTGTGAAAAGAAATCGTCCATCATTAAACAGGGGTGGAGGCCTCCGGTTTCAACTGTCCCCCTCTTACAATGCTGTGATTGCTAGTATCACTCAGCCCTCTGTGAGTAGTAAACAGCCATCAGTGTGCTAATACCATACCATACCATACCAATTTATTTATATAGCACTTAAAACAGCAACAAGGCCAACCAAAGTGCTGTACAAAAGAAACAAACATGCACAGCAGACAGGAAAACATAAAATAGAAATACAGATACAAATAGCAGCAGAAGCTAACTAAAATGGCCAAAAGAGTAGAGAACAGACCGGACCAAAACAAATCACACCGTGTTAAAGGCAAGCGAATAGAAGTGGGTCTTCAAGCGAGACTTAAAGACTGAGAGTGTGGGAGCCTGCCTGACACTCAGTGGCAACTCATTCCACAGTCGTGGACCTGCGACAGAGAAAGCCCTGTCACCTCTGAGCTTACGACGGGTTTCTGGGACTGAGAGAAGCATCTGCTCTGCTGACCTCAGAGAGCGCGGTGGGACATATGGCTGCAGAAGATCAGTGAGATAGGATGGGGCGGAACTGTTCAGTGATTTAAAAACATACATGAGAATTTTGAAATGGATCCGCAGGTGAATGGGTAGCCAGTGCAGGGAGGCCAAAACTGGTGTGATGTGCTCTCTATAGCCTGTATCAGTTAAAAATCGGGCTGCAACATTTTGGACCAGTTGTAGACGAGCAATGGAGGACTGACTGATTCCAAACAGAAGTGAATTGCAGTAATCAAGCCTAGATGTTATGAAGGCGTGGATCACTGTCTCAAGGTTCTTTTTGGAGAGTACAGGCTTCAGCTTAGACAGCTGTCTCAGCTGAAAAAAACAGGATTTGACCATCATGTTTACGTGACTGTTGAGTTTTAAGGACGGGTCCATTATCACCCCCAGATTAGTGACCTTTTGTTTCTCTAGCGGGGCTAGAGAGAAAAGGTCAATGTCATGGTTCATGAGTGAACCACTTGGATGGAACAGCATGACTTCAGACTTCTTCTCATTGATGCTTAAGAAGTTTAAAGCCATCCAGTCCCGGATGTCAGCCAGGCAGTCAAGAAGAGGCTGAATAGAGCGTGTGCCTCTGTGCCTCAGGGGGAAGTAAATTTGGCAATCATCGGCGTAGAAATGAAAGGGTATGTCGTGTTTGCGGAAGATAGCACCTAGTGGCAGCAGGTATAAAGAAAAGAGAAGGGGACCGAGGATGGACCCCTGCGGTACCCCCCACTGGAGCGCTGTCGATGCCGAACTAAAATCTTTGATATTGACACAGAAGGTTCTGTCAGAGAGGTAGGACCCAAACCATTTAAGGGCTGACCCTGTGATGCCCACCCACTGCTCCAGTCTAGAAATGAGGATGTTGTGGTCGATGGTGTCAAAAGCAGATGTAAGGTCCAATAGGACAAGCAGCACAGAATCACCTGCGTCTGCGGATATGAAAATGTCATTAAAAACCTTCAGTGATGATAATGATCCATTGTTAGGCTGATGGTCCTTCTTGAGCATGTGATCAGCTGGTTTTGGTTGTCAGCAGCAAACTGGTTGATCCACTCTGAGAAGGTGCTATTTAAGAGACTGAGCTGAAAACAGCACCTCAGACTGAGGAAGTCTCTTGGATGAGAGACGAAACGTTTCTATATTTTTTTGCTTTGTTTTATTTTTTGTTTTTTTGAATGTCCAGAGGACCAGATTGAACTTTTTTGGATATTTATTAACAAAACAAAAAGACCTGACGGGGCAGCAAAAAATACAAACAAGAATGAACAGGGGGTACACACACAATAAACAGGTCATCACCGGTGAACAGTAGACAATGCCAAGACAAAACTAACACAGACTTCTATACAGGAAACACCAATTAGACAAAGTGAAGGCACCTGTGAGTGATCACACATGCCAGAGACAGAGACTGAAGACGTAGGACATAAACACCACACAAGATGGGGCTAGACACCAAAGAAACACAAATCCTATTGAGACATAAGCAGAGGATCAGGGGAACACAGACATGAACACAATACCAAGGACAAAACCACAACTCGCCCCCCAAAGGGCATCTCCAGATGTCCTAAAGCCCTCCCCACAGAGACTTGGGTGGGAGGAGGGGGAGAACAGGCCAGAGGGCACGAGAAAACAGATGTGGGGACCAGGACAGGAAACACACACTGGGAACAAAACAAAAAAATTTCAATGCCGTCAACAAACCGTCCCAAGGCAGACCTTGTCCAAAAACCCTGGGGCAGGTCAGGCGAGGAGTCAGGACAAGGCAAGGAGCCTGGACAAGGCATAGCACCAAGGCGATGCGAAGGGCCAAGGTGATGCGTGGGGCCAAGCAATGCATGGGGCCAAGGCGATGCATGGGCCCTAGGCGAGGCGTGGGGCCAAGGCGAGGCATGGGGCCAAAGGGATGCGAAGGACAAAGGCTATGCAAGGCAACTGGTCCAAGCGAAGCATTGACCCAAGGCGAGGAACCTGAACGAGGCGAGGAACCCCTCGAGGATGTGGAACTTTCAACCGGAGGCATGGAGACCTCTGGGGATGCAGCTGCTGTGGGACCCTTTGGGGATGCAGATACCATGGGATCCTCTGGGGATGCCGCTGCGTGGGACCATCTGGGGACGCCACTGCCGTGGGACCCTCCGGGGATGCTGCTGCCATGGGACCCTCCGGGGACACAGCAGACTTCTGCGGCTGGACCAAGAGCAGACGTGGAACTCAGGAACGTGGAATTTTCAGGTTGAGGCACGGGCGGAGCAAAACCCTTACAGTTCTTCTCTACGAAGTCCATGGCACCAGACGCCTCCTCAAACCGTCAAACCTGTTTATTTGGCAAAGTTATCTGCAATATAGCTGTGTAGAAAAGACCAAACATAACACCTGGGCAGGAATAAAGCTCTTTTTTGACTTTAGTAAAGAAGGCTCAATTTTTTGCAACAGCAGTGGTAAAGTCCGGAAAAATTTAAATCGTCTTCCCATTGTACAAGAGGAGTAGACATGCCAGCCTTCCTCAGGATCTCATTATGTTGCTGGAACATACTGACTCTGACAACAAAAGGAAGTGGGAGTTCCCCGTCTGCAGTTCTGACATGGAGGGTCTAATGAGCTCGGTCCAGTGTGGGTTTGTAGTCCAGGCCGAGTAGATTCTGTAGCAAAGTATCTATGAAATCCATTGGTCTGGTGCCTTCAGTTCCTTCGAGGATACCAATCACCCGCATTTTATTCAGTCTAGAGCACCCTTCTAGGTCTTCACATTTCTTTGACATAGAATCCACCATATTCGTGAATGAGGAGACTTTCATTTCCAAGCTAGTTAACTTGTCGCTCTGGTCATTAGCTGAGTGCTCAAAGGCCACAATAGTCTGAGCATGCACCATGACTTTAGCTTCTAGTGAGGTGAGGGCATTCGTGATTTCTCTCTTCACTGCTTCCGATACTATTTCATCAAATTTACTCACAAGGTCCGAATGTATTCCCTCCAGCATTGCTTCCATGTGCTCCAGCAGACGGTCATTAGCATCAGGTTCAGAAGTAGCTTCAGGCTCTGGCGACTGGCATGGTTTACTGCAGCCTACCTTGGAGGTGTCGGATTTTCCTCGGCTTGCCATGGTTCCGAGAGCTTGTAACAGTGGGTTAGGCACAGGTGTCCTGTGAAAGTTAACAGTAACTGTTGGTGTCAAAAATAATTCAAAAAATCGTGCAAAAAAAGGATAAAACTGTCACATTCCTGTGGAGCTTCCGCAGGCACGTCTTACATGTTGATGCTCCACCCTGGAGGCCCGTAGATTTTGATTTTTTACGTGAATAAGAAAATTTAAAAACATGATTTGTTTTCTTTTTTCTTTAAAAATGTCAGGCCTAGATTCATTAACAGACTGCACATGTTTTGCAAGTGCAAGACATTTGTGCTACTATTTAGTTCACAAAACCTCAAGCGACATTGCCAATCAAACAATGCCTCTCTGTGCTGATGCAGTTTCTACACATTTAAATCAGGTTTTATGCTATATTTAGAGAAAAGCTCCACCAAATCAATTTTATGTAAATAAGTGCCAGAGAACACGATGTCTGTTTCTCAGAGAGCAGCACAGTTAGCGAGAAATATTTACCATCTACTGCGAGCAGGTAGTATATGCATCTCAGGTGAAACGCCTGAGGAAGAACAGCAACTTACTGCACTGCTGCCTTCACAGAGAGAGAACAGGTGTGTCAGGAAAGGTATAAAACGTTAAAATACTTTAAAGCTTTAAAATGTTAAACAAGTGTCACATTGTTACATCTACAGTTACAGTGGTGCTTGAAAGTTTGTGAAGCCTTTAGAATTTTCTTTTTTATGCATAAATAAAACCAAACAATCAGGTTCATCAGATTTTCACACAAGTCCTAAAAGTAGATAAAGAGAACCCAGTAAAACTAATGAGACAAAAATATGATACCTGGTCATTTATTTATTGAGGAAAATGATCTAAGATTATATATTTGTGTGGAAAAAGTATGTGAACGTCTAGAATTAACAGTTAATTTGAAGGTGAAATTAAAGTCAGGCGTTTTCAATCAATGGGATGATGATCAGGTGTGAGTGGGCGCCTGTTTGATTTAAAGAACAGGATCTATCAAAGTCTGCTCTCAAGCTGGAAAAGGTTACAAACCATGTCTAAAGATCAAAGTTCATGCTCAAAAATCCAGGTAGAAAAATCCAACAAAGTGAAGTCAGGTCCTCTGGACGGTTTCTTTATGTTGAAATGTTGCGTATTTCATCCAAAAGACTTCATCAGTCCGAGGAGCCACAACAACTCAGTCTTATAAATATCACCTTCACGTAGTGTGTCCAGCAGTTTGATGGTGCTAAGATAGGATATCATCATATACTCAGTCATATAAGACTGAGCTGTTGTGGCTCCTCGGGCTGATTAAGTGTTCTGGATGAAAGACGAAACGTTTCAACAAAAAGAAACCGTCCAGAGGACCTGACTTAACTTTGCTGGACATCTCTAAAGAGTTTGGACTCCACCGATCCACAGGAAGAAATTCAAGACCATCGTTATCAGGAGCGGTGGACCAACAACGATCACTCCAAGAGCAAAGCGTGGAATAGTGGGTGAGGTCACAAAGACCCCAAGGTAACGTCTACTCAAGGCGTCTCTCACATTGACTAATGTTGATGTTCATGAGTCCACCATCAGGAGATACTGAACAACAATGGTGTCATGGCAGGGTTGAAGGAGGAAGCTACTGCTCTCCAACAAGAACATGCTGCTCATCTGCATCATCTGCAGTTTGCTAAAGATCACGTGGACACGCCAGAAGACTGTTGGAAGAATGTTTTGTGGACGGATGAGACCAAAATAGAACTTTTTGGTTTAAATGAAAAGAGTTATGTTTGGAGAAAGGACAACAGCATTCCTGCAGAAGAACCTTCTCCCATCTGTGAAACATGGTGGCGGCAGTATTATGGTTTGGGCCTGTTTTGCTGCATCTGGGCCAGGGCAGCTTGTCATCATTGATGGAACAATGAATTCTGAATTATATCTGAGAATTCTAAAGGAAAATGTCAGAACATCTGTCCATGAACTGAACCTCAAGAGAACATGGGTCATGCAGCAGCACAATGACTCTAACAAGTTGTTCTACCAAAGAACGGTTCAAGAAGAATAAAGTTCATGTTTTGAAATGGCCAAGTCAAACTCCTGACCTTAATCCAATGCAGATGTTGTGGAAGGACCTGAAGCTGCAGTTAATGTGAGGAGACCTCCAACATCCAGAGCTGAAGCCGTTATTTTCAACTACAAAACACTGCAGCTCGCGTTCTCACAAGATCCCATAAATATCAGCAAGTTCTGTCCTCGTTGCACTGGCTCCCTGCGGTTTGTAGAATTCAACTTTCAACTTTATTTTTGGTAAATTAAAAACATTACAAAAAAAGGGAAAAACAATATAAAATGGTAAATCAATTATTTACCAACAAAGGAATAGGCTAGGCTAACACTAGACCAGGGGTCTGCAACTTTTATTATCAAAGAGCCATTTTTACGCTTTCGTTCACTAAATGAAACGTGTCCAGGGCAACAACCTGCTTTAACGGTCGTTCTCAACTAATGGCCCATGGGCCACTTTAAATTTGTTGTAGGAGACTTTTGTGGCCAGCAGGGATGACAATGTAAATTAAAAGTATCTAATGTTATTTTTTTTACATTTGTTGATATTTTTACAATTTAAGACAAATGAAAAGACCATATTTTTTAAAGAGAGGGAAAATAGTTTTATAAATTAAAAAAACAACAACTATGAACTGTGTAAACCTGTCATTTTTAATTAAGTATAGACATAAAGCAAAACGTTAAAGTATTTTCACAAGAAATGACAGAAAAACAGCTAAAACTAGAATATTTAGTTGTTTGTATAACAACAGATAAAATTCAGTTTATGTTAGTTTTGGTCAAAGGTTGAAAGAGCCGCTGCAGAGGGACCAAAGGGCCGCATGTGGCTCCAGAGCCGCAGGTTGCAGACCCCTGCACTAGACGCTGAACTGTTCATATACTTTTGCAAACCACAAATATGTCATACTGGATCATTTTCCTCAATAAATAAATGACCAAGTGTAATAATTTAGTTTTATTTGTTTATCTCTTTATCTACTTTAGGACTTGTGTGAAAATCAATCGATGTTTTAGGTCATATTTATGCAGAAATATTATAAATGGTTCACAAACTTTCAAGCACCACTGTAAAATGGTAAAAAAGGGCATAGAATCTATTTATTGTCTTACATTTAGAATATAAACTTTATGATTATAAAACGTTCTCAGTTTGTGCATGACACCCGTGCACCAGCAGCAACATTAGGATCACTTTAGCATCTCTCCTGAAGCCTTTTTAATGTCAAACAGGTGGAACGTTCTGATGGACTACTGCTACACCACGCCCTCTGGAAACCCTAATGATGATCTTCGCTACGATCTTTTCTTCAGGTGAGTCCAGGTGAGAAACAGATGCACGATTTGATTCAGTTCTGACGTTTTCTTTGCTGTCTTTGTTAAAATGTGCTGTTACTGAGGCAGCTGTGAGAAAGACCCCCAGACGACTGTCTTTGAGAACGGGAAAAGCCAAATGGGCCGTTTTGCCTTTGAAGTGTTCCGGTTCATAAAGCACAAGAACCAGAAGATGTCCACTGTCTTCCTGCACTGTGTGACCAAGCTGTGCCGAGCAGATGACTGTCCCATGCTCATGCCGGTGAGATGAACACAAACTCTGACCTCATCTAAGAAGAGGAAAGAAAAGTCAAAATTAGTCTGAAGGGATTATAAAGAAATATTAGCCAGTTTATTTTATGGAGGAAAACATTGATAAAAGTCTTTTACATTCTATATTTAGCTGTTAAAGATAAGATGGAACTTTTTGATCCTGCAGGAAATTGTTGTGCCAGAGTTTCAGAACAAAGGAACAAACACAAGAATCACACATAAAAAATAACAGAGAATATAAAAAATACCAACAATTAAGTTCTAAACAGGTGCAGACAGAAACATTAGAGTTTATTGGAGTTCAGGATTAATTTTACTGTCCTATGTGCAGAAAGGGGGAGGAGTTAAACAGTGTGAAGGACTTCCTGTTGTTCTGTGGAGCACCTGGTGGTCTCAGTCTGACTGAAGGTGCTGCGCTCAGAGTCCAGGGTGTCCTGCAGGGGGGGGGGACGTTCAGGATCTGGAGCAGGTTCCTCAGCATCCTCTGCTCAGACGCCTCCATCAGAGGCTGCAGGTCCACTCCCAGAACTGAACCAGCTCTTCATGAGCTTATCCAGTCTGTTGGCATCAGCTTTCTTCACCCTGAAGAAAACAGTCATGTGACTTCACACCTGGGGCGGCTGTGGATGAGTGGTTAGAGCAGTCCTCCTCCCATGGGAGAGTCGGGGGTTCAATTCCACCAGCAGTCACATTTAGAAGTGTCCCTGGGCAAGACACTGAACCCCTCATAGCCTCCGATGTGTTTTTTTTTTTTTTTTTCATTTACTCTTTATTTATCCAGGTTAGTCTCATTGAGCCACGGGAACTCATTTTCAAGAGAGACCTGTTTAGGAGCACATGGTGGGGGTTAAGGGCCTTGCTCATGGGCCCAGAGTGGGGCGAATGAGGGTGGGGGCAAGTGTGGGTGTTTCACCGACCCCACCCACAATTTTGATGTTGTCGGGGCCGGGGCATGAACCGGCGATCTTCGGATCACAGGCCCACCTCTCTAACCTCTGCGCCACCACTCCCCCGTTTCCCATCAGTGTCTGAATGTGATCTAAAGCTCTGATTAGTCTTTGTAGAGATCTAGTAGAGTGCAGATCTAGTAGAGTGCAGATCTAGTAGAGTGCAGATCTAGTAGAGTGCAGATCCAGTAGAGTGCAGATCCAGTAGAGTGCAGATCTAGTAGAGTGCAGATCCAGTAGAGTGCAGATCTAGTAGAGTGCAGATCTAGTAGAGTGCAGATCTAGTAGAGTGCAGATTCAGTAGAGTGCAGATCTAATAGAGTGCAGATCCAGTAGAGTGCAGATCTAGTAGAGTGCAGATCTAGTAGAGTGCAGATC